GGGGGGGTTGGAGTCTCACTCTGTCACCTAGACTGGAGTGCAGTGGTGGCTCCCGTCCACTGCAGCCTCGACCTGCTGGGCTCCCCTGATCCTTCTGCTGCAGCCTTGCAAGTAGCCGGAACTACAGGTGTGCACTACCCCACCCAGCTAATGTTTTTGATTTATTGTGGAGATGAGGTCTTGCCAAGTTGCCCAGGCAGGACTTGAACTCGCGGGCTCAGGCAATCCACTCACCTCAGCCTCCCAAAGCATGGGATTACAGGCTGAGCCACTGAGCCTGGCTCTTTTGCCCATTTTTTAATAGGGTTGTTTTTTTTTTCCTTTTGGCATGTTTTTAAAGATGTGGATCCTAGATGTTAGGCCTTTGTCAGATATATAGTTGGCAAATATTTTTTACCATTCTGTTGACTGTCTCCCCAATATGTTGATGGTTTATTTTGCTGAAGGGATAGAAATTGGAAGCATTTTCCTTGAAAACCAGAAGACAAGGCTGCCTGCTCTCACCACTCCTGTTCAGCATTGTGTTAGAAGTCCTAACTAGAGCAATTAGACAAGAAAACTAAATCAGGGATATCCAAATAGAAAAAGAGGAAGTTAAGTTATCCCTCTTTGCAGATGACATGATCCTGTAACTTGAAAAACCAAGAGAATCTGTAAAAAACCTTCTTGCACTAATAAAGAACTTTGGCAAAGTCTCAAGGTATAAAATAAACATGCAAAAGACAGTTGCGTTCCTACACACCAACAATAAACAGAAACCCATTAAAAATAGCCACGGAAGGAAGGAAGGAAGGAAGGAAGGAAGGAAGGAAGGAAGACAGGAAGATAGGAAGACAGGAAGACCTTGGCATCTTCCTAACTAGAGAAGTGAATTACCTTTATATTGAAAACTACAAAACTGGCCGGGTGCAATGGTTCACATATATAATCCCAAGCACTTTGGGAGACCAAGGTGAGAGGATTGCCTGACCCAAGGGTTCGAGACCAACCTGGGCAACTTGTTGAGACCTCATCTCTACAATAAATCAGAAAATAAGCCACGGGTGGTAGCACTTGCCTATAGGTCCAGCTACTTGGAAGACCAGGGCGGAAGGATTGCCTGAGCCCAGCAGGTCAAGGCTGCAGTGGCCATGAGCGTGCCACTGCATTCCAGCCTGGGTAGACAGAGTGAGGCTCTGACTCAAAAGAAAAAAAAAAAACCAAAAAAATCTTACACGACACTGCTTAAAGAAATCAAAGATGACCGAAACAAATGGAAAAATATTCCATGCTCATGGATTGGAAGAATCGACATTGTTAAGATGTCCATCCTACCCAAGGAATCTACAGATTGAATGCAATACCCACTAAATTACCAGCAGTCTTCTTCTCAGACCTGGAAACGACAGTACATAAATTCATATGGAAACATAAACAACCACGAATAGCCAAAACAATCCCAGCAAAAAACAAACAAACAACCAAAAAATAAAAAATAAACAAAGCAGGAGGTGTCACACTCCCAGACTTTAAAATTTCTTATAAAGCTACAGTAATCAAAACAGCCTGATATTGGTACAAGTATAGGCATATAGATCAACAAAACAGGATAGAGACTCGAAGCAAAACCTCAATTTCTCAACCAACTCATCTTTGACAAAGCCTCCAACAACCACCAATGGGGAGAGGAGAACCTATTCAGTAAATGGTGCTGGGAAAACTGACCACATGCAGAAGATTAAAACAAGACCCCTACCTATCACCATATACAAAAAATTATTCTAAATGGATCAAAGACCTAAGTGTAAAACCCCAAACTATAAGAAACTTAGAAGAAAATGTAGGAAATACCCTTATGGAAATTGGAATAGGCAACCAATTCCTGATCAACTCTCCTAAAGTGAATGCCATAAAAGATAAGATAGATAAGTGGGACCTCATCAAACTGAAAAGATTCTCCTTGTTATTTGAAATTTAATAGTGTTGGAATCAGACAAGGGAAGCATGTAAAATGCAAATAAGTAAGTTTAGACACAGAACTCTGGGATTGCAGCATATATGGGATTGGCAGAGAAAGAAAAGCAAATAAAGTTTACTTGTGAAGATTTCTGAACAATGAGAAGAGAACCAGGGAAGAATATTTTATAGAGCCAATGAATGTAGCATCTTCAAAATACTTCCTCTAATATTTTAGTGAGGTCAACCAGATTAAGGATAGATTATGACTTGTTTGAATGTCTGGGAGATGGTTGATGTTCTTGCTTATGGTACTTTCAGGATGAGTGGAAGTCAGATTTTCATTGATTGAAAAATATATGGCATGAACACATAGGACATGGATCCAATAACTTTATTGAAAATATATTGTGAAAAGAAAGAAGTTGATTGGTACAGAAGAACTGCTACAAGTGAAATAAAAGATTTATGTTTAAACCCTGTGCCATATATAGATTAATGTTTCAGGCTTCTTTTTAAATGAATATTTTCTATGAGAAGAATTACTTTTAATATTTAAGCATTTTTCAGTTTTTATGTATAGATTTTTTTTTTTTGGATTGGAGTCTCACTCTGTCACCCAGACTGGAGTGCAGTGGCCGCTCCCGGCCACCGCAGCCTTGACCTCCTGGGCTCCGGCAATCCTTCCATCCCAGCCTTCCAAGTAGCTGGAACTACAGGCGCACGCTACCACGCCCCGCTAATTTTTAATTTATTGTAGAGATGAGGTCTCACCAAGTTGCGGGGTCTTGAACCCGTGGGCTCAGGCAGTCCACTCACTTCAGCCTCCCAAAGCGCGGGATTACAGGCTGAGCCACCAAGCCTGGCTTGTATAGCTCTTTTATGATTGTTTATTTTTAAAGAAGAATAGGCCACTGCTTAGTATGATATAACAGGTTTTCTCTTACTACAGATTTTCAAATGCTTATGTCAACTCATGCACACTGACTGATGAAATTATTCTCAAAATATTACTTTGCCTATTTTTCTCATTTGCTTTTTGGACATCTGGATTACCAGATGGAGGATAAAAATCAATAGCTCTCTTTAAAAGAGCTTTTTCAGATATTCTTCATTACTTATTAAGTAGTCTAAGGAATGTTATTTTATCAGTGTTACTATAAAAGATACATCAATTTTAATATTATCTTTTAAAATTAATATTTTGTCTTTTGGGAGTACTTAGTATTTGTGAAGGAAATCCTGATATGTTTTCTGGATGAAAGTTAGTGAATTTAATTCCTTATATAATGGTTGTTTTCCATTTCATATATCTTGAAGCAGCTATTCAGAGAATAGGTATGCATAATCATAGAACTTTCACTGAAGTAGCTTGAAGAGACACATTTAAGAGCTACTCTAGGCTAAAGTAGGATATTTGAGATTGGTATTTCTAGGTGATATTTTATATTAGAGTCTTTTTGTTGAAATTCATTTAAACCAGTTTCCTACTTATCCTGCATGTATCATATTTTACCTGAATTAACATGGTGTATTTTTTAATTGAAGACTGATATATTTGTGGTTTTTGACATGGTTTCAAACTAGTTGAAACTTTCAACTACATGAAGGTTTTGTTGTTTTATGTATTTTAAGGCTTCATCTTGTTGTGGTACATGAATCCAACACAATTTGCTAATCTTCCTAGAACAATTATCTTCTCTCTGAATATTTCTTCCTACACTTAGAAAAAGGGGAAAGGAAGAAAAAAGATTTAAATACAGGTGGTTTATTATAGTCACCCTTCATCCCCCTTAAAAATAGCATTTGTGTAAGTACTAGGGGGACCCTAAAAACCAGAATTCATTAATTAAAAAATTGTGTGTACTCTTGCATGTTTTAGCTTCAATTACCTTCAAAGTACTCTCTGTTTGATATAATACATCTATCAAGACAGTTTTTCCACTGCTCAGAACAGTTTTCGAACTTGTCAATTTTGATGCCTTTTGTTGCTTCTACCAGTTTTTAAATTAAATTAAATTAAATTAAGTTAAATTAAATTGTTTTAAATTTTAAAGATGTGGGGTATAATTCAGGATTAGGTATACAAGTGGTCATTGTCTAGGTAAAGTTTGGACCCCTCTTTGGTTCCCACTTTGCCTGGTTTGAGATCAGGTACCCTTGTTGATGTTATATTACCCTCCCACACCCCAACAGTATCTCGTGCTGCCAGTTCCTTTCTTATAGTAAATGTTCTGGGTTCGCTTATGAGTGAGACCTGTGGTACTCTGGTCTTTGTTTCTAACTTACTGAGTATGATAGACTCTAAATCCATCCAAATTGCTGCGAAGTTCATATGTTTGTCCTTTATGGCTGCGTAATATTCCACTGTGTGTATGTACTATTTTAAAAGATGCAGTCCAGTTTCAGTGGGCTTCTGCCAGTTTTTGTTTCACCTGTTCCACATGGACAAACGTTTCCCTTTGAGGATTTTTTTTCTTAATCCAGGAAAACAAAAAAGAGTCACTTGGAGGAAGATGGGGTGAATGGGGAGGATGAGGCATGGGGATGTCATGCTGGTTTTTGGTCAATAGCTGTTGAACACTCAGCGCTGTATGGTAAGGAGCGCTTGTAAGTCACCTGTCATGAAATGGGCAAACATGATGAGAGAATCTCCACACACACACAAAAAATTCACTGAAGCTGGTTGCAACCTCTCACAAAAATGCTAGCTGGTACACTGACAGGTACCTAGAATACTTACCTAGTTGGGGGGGTGTGCTATACTACAAGTGGCCTGTCCTCCAAAAGATAATTCTGTTTTGTTTTGGTTTTGTTTTTGGCTCCCCCCCTCATGTGTGTGACATTTGTATGATGTTTTACTTATAATTTAGTCTAAATGAAATAAAATGTGTAAATAAAAATGGTAATTGGTCTATATTTTTTCTTTGCAGTTGGATCACTGTTTTTAATATAAACTATCACCTTATTTACAAAAGTAAAAAAAAAAAAAAAAAGGCTATCCTATATTCTAATGCTCTGTGTTCTCTAAATTCTCCAAATTTTGATTGTTACTATTTTGATTTCTCAGTAAGGAACAATACACGGGGACGCTCCAGATGAGATCACATTCTATGAGTCCAACTTACAGAGAAGATGGACAAAATATTACACCAAAGATTTGCGTAAGATCAGATTTTACTTTGGCTTGTTTTTTAAAAAATAACTCAACAAAGTTTTAATTTCATATTGCTGAAGTTTCAATGATTGCTTAAAAACCATGAATGAAGTCTGAAGATTGTAACTGAAGATCTTAATGTCAAAGAAAGTGGTGTGTTTTGTGTACTCCATACTGTTCCTTCTGCTTTGTCAATGATTCTGGGGTATCATGCTAATTAGTCTGTTATTTCTCCTGTACGTGGAAGAATAACTTTTCCCTTTTACTCAGACTATGTAAGAAAATGATTCAATACCCAATGATCATAAAGTTAAGAAAACATTAGAAGTAACTTGTAGTGATGTAGGGAATACTTTTTTCTCATGAAGGTGAACCATTTATATTTTAAAATATGAATGCCTATTTTCATCTATTTTTTTTTTTTAACATAGATTTGATTGAACAAGGTGTTAATGAGCATTCCAGTTAGGTTTGTGAAGAGAAAAACTGTGCTAGCCTACTGCAGTCTTTACTGCCTAACTCTGGCTCTCTTGGGTTATATGACTTAGGTACGAGAGAAATCATGACTGTTTTAGCACATATTGCTGTAAAGTAGCTCATTGCATTTTCTCCAATGATAATTTAAAACTTAAAATTTTATATAAAGAGCAGTGCATTGTTAATAATGATTAGCTGTCAATCATCCTATTTACTCAGAATTAGCACAGCAGGTACATTTTCATATTTAATAAGTTCTTGTTCTCAAAGAAAAACATACATGAAGTAAGAGATCACCAATATACTTCATACTGAATTTTAATATAGTACATGAATGATAAAAATTTGACAGTTTGTTGAATAGAAATGTAGAGACTCAGTAAAATATGAAGAACATTTTAGTGCATCTTAAAAATCACTTTATATTAATTTAAATGACCATAGGTAAATAGGTTTATTTGTTAATAATGACGCTTTCTAAAAGTGTGGAAGTGCTGTACCAACAAGTTAATTTTAAAACATATTTTGGACTGCAAAATAACCTTTATTTTAGAATGATTTATCTTTCTTAAGTTTTTAGAGCTTTCTGATCAGTGTCCATTTCTGGACAGAAATCATAGGTTGTCTTTAGTTAGGTTGGGTTGTCTTCAGTTAATTATATATATAATATATACAATATAATATAAAATAATATGTAGCAATAAATTATACATGCATATAAAAGACTTTTTTGTAAAAAGTGAAGAATCATCATAATTGTGTTTTCTTGATGTGAATTTAAAGATTATTTATCTTTATATTCAGTGTATGAATGAGGATTAATTTAAGAACAAAGAGCTTCTTAGACACCAACACAAAACTTTCATGTTAACTAACTTTAACGAGAGTAAATAATTCATCTTTCAAGTCCTCCCCTACCCCTAACACACTTTAAAGCTACTGTGGCATACCACAATTAAAACTTTTTGTAAAAGAACTTAAAGAGAAGAGTCTGGATTAATTTTTTAAAATATTCTTTTGATTTTTTTTGAAATCGAGTTACTGTGTGCATATATCCTTTAGGCAGCTCATAGCCCTAAGCAGCTATAATAAATAGTCATTACTTAGAATTAAGAACTCTAGCTCAGTGGTAACAGAACCCTTTCCTCTGAGAGCAGGATAGCATTGCCAGAGAAGCACACAAAACTCATCAGTCTGAAGGACATATACTTTGTCCTGTTTTCTTCCTCCCTCCCTCCCTCCTTTTTTGTCTTTCTCTTTCCTTCTCTAACCCCTTTCTTTTTACTTTCCTCCTTTCCTTTCCTTTCTGTTCTTCCTCCCTCATTCCTCCTTTGTCTCCTTTGTTTCTCTCTTCCATCCCTTCCTCTGTTATTCTTTCCCTTTTTCCTTCTCCTTCCTTCTTCCCTTTTTTCTTTTGTGTTCCAGGAAGTTCGTTTGACAGCACCTCCTGTTTCCTTGGATGACAGTGATATTGAAGCTCGCCTTAATAGTTGGAATCTTGGGGTAAAAAAAAATATTTGTTTTACGTATATATTCATATGTCAAATTTGTATTGAATGTGGATGACATCTGAACTAATTTTATTTCATTTTATTTAGTGACTATTGGATGTTAGATGTGTATTACCATACTGGCCTTGAGAAGGATTTAGGTACAGAAAAGAGAAATAACATTAGAAACAAACATAAAATAGTCCCTGTCCTCCACTAGCTAACTTTCTTATTGGTGAAATACAAGATATACCCATAACATAGTTAAATAATTTAAGTCACAGTATGATACAATTCCAAAATGTATTAGATGAAAAGAAGCATATGAGGTGGAGGGGTGGGAAGGGAGAACTTGAAGCACGGCCATTCGGTTAAAAACACTCAAGGAGACTTTCTGGGTAGGCAGCCATTATGATCAACAGTTTCTTGTTTTTCTTATTTTATTTTATTTTTTTGACTTGGCGTCTCACTCTATCACCCAGGTTGGAGTACAGTGGCACATTCATGGCTGCTGCAACCTCAGCCTGCTGGGCTCAGGTGATCCTTCCGCCTCAGCCTTCCAAGAAGCTGGAACCACAGGCATGTGCCGCCATGGCCGGCTAATTTTTTTGATGTATTTTAGAGAAGAGGTCTCACCATGTTGCTCAGGCTGGTCTCAAACCCCTGAGCTCAGGTAATCCTCTTGCCTCTGCCTTCCAAAGTGCTGGGATTACAGGTGTGAGCCACTGCGCCTGCCTGGGGGACTCATTTTAAAGGCTTAAGAGTTTTAATTTAGACTGGTGGAGTTTGAAGAGATGGAAAGACTAATTGGTGGGTTCAAGGCCCAGAGTTTCATGAGATTCAAGGGTTGGAAGTATATTTTGGAGTCACACTGCTAGAGGTGGTAGCTGCACCCAGAGACTAGAACAGCTCTGGTGTTTTGAGAGTACTGAGTAAGGAGGACTTGGTGGAAAGGACAGAGAATGAGTATGCCTGGCTCATGGAATGGGTACAACTAGAAGGTTGGGAAATAGTTAGGAAGGTAATGTGGATCTCCTGTTGATTTTGGGAGTATGCTAGTAAAAGAAAAAATTAAAGTTGATAATAAATCAAAAGAAAAACATTTTCACGCTTGACAGTGTAGGGAAAGTTACCATTGGAGGGAGGTCCTATTACCAGTGTTGAGGAAGAGCACAGGAAATCCCTCATAAGGCAAACTTCTTTTTCCAGAGAGCAGCATCAAAGTAATAAATACAATTTTGGAGCTATCCTTGTAAACCTGCCTTTGCCCTTAGCCATTTGAAATTTATGATGTACATTTCTTAGCACATAGAATACTTTTTATGATTATTTAACTGTTCAGAGGATTAAATATTTCATTCATATAATAAAATTAAAATAAAACATCTAAATATTGTGAAGTAGTGCCTTAAAACTAGTCCTGTCTAGGATTTTGTTTCATATTTTTTATTGCTCAAAGAATACACTAAGAGTGTAAAATATAGAATTTTACATTTTTATATATTTATGGTATATATGCAATAATCAGTCTGAGCTATATCTTGATCACAGTTGAATTAAGTATTCAGTTTATTAGAAAGCTAAATTTTGCTTTAATTTTAGTTTTGTATGATAATGTATGACTGGTTTTTTAATCTTTCTTCCTCTGAGTGATCAATTAATAGCTAGAGTTAATATTTGTACTCTAGTTTCAGAGTACCTTTTTAATGTTGCTGGCATTCTTGTCAGCACCTTCATTCTGATCCATTAGATAGTCTAGAATTTGAATTGTCTAGTTTTTGTTAAAAATGCATTTTCCCCAAATATATTCTTCCTTTTCCCAGGTGTATGTTAATATTTTTTCTAGGATTACATAATTCAATTAGAGATTTATTTATAAAAACTGGCAATGACATTTTTCTCCCGATTTTTTTCTCAATTTTTGTTTTCTCAGACTTTTGTTTTTGTATTTTTTTTTGCTTTCTCAAAATATTTTGCATATCTATTTCATGTATGACTCTCTAAGTCACAAACTGTATCGTAATGCTGTGTTTGTTAGCTGTTTGTAAGTTAATTTCAGCGATTGCATGGATGGAGGCTTTGGAATATTCTGCCTTTATCTGGTGACTCACATATCACTGTGAAACAGTCTATGTGCACCCATTTGAAAAAAACTTTAAAAATTATGTCTTACTTGATTTTTCAAGTTTTAGGTTCTGTTGTTTATTTTGTAATTAATTTAATATCTTAAAATCTATGTTAAGAATATTAGAAGCCTTTGATGCTAGTTAGGGATTATTTGTAGCTTCCTTTACTTTTTAAGATATTAGGAAAAAGTCATAAATACTTTCTTCCTGGTTACTAGAATGTGTTTGTGAGTTTTCTTTTTAGAAATGAGGTATATAACAGTCAATGAAAATAACATTTGTGACACAATTAAAAAAAAATTTTTTTTAAAGATGTGTGGTACAATTCAGGGCTAGTTATACAGATGTTCATTATGCAGGTACCCTTGTTGATGAGGTGTGCCTCCCTTGCCCCTGGCATTTTCCCACTACTGCCAATCCCCTTCTTGCAGTATTATGATAATTGTTCAAGGTCCACTTATGAGTGAGAACATGTGGTGCTTAGTTCTTTGTTTCTGTGATAGCTCACTCAGTATTATAGACTCAAATTCCATCCAAGTTGCTGTGACGTTTGTAATTTTGTCCTTCTTTATGGCTGCATAATATTCAGTTGTGTATATACCACATTTTTTTTTATCCAGTCCTGTTTTCATGAGCAACGCGGTTGGTTCCATGTTTTTTGTTATTGTGAATAATACTGCAGTAAACATGCTTGTGCAGGTATCTTTTTCATAAAGTGATTTGAGTTCCTCTGGGTATATTCCCAGCAGGAGGATTGCAGTCGTGACACAAATTAAGAATCCCTTTCCTCTTTAAATTCGAATGCCTTTTCCTATTTTATAGGTATAAAAATGGATGGGAAAAGTGACATAATTAAAAGCTTTCACTGCATGAAGTTTTTGAATTGTAGTACTAATAGTCATGGTCGTATTGGCTGGTGATTTAAAAGAAAAAAGACCATACGTAGGAAGACCAACTTTTATCCTAAAAAAATTATATTATTCTTATTCTTAAGTTGTGATTAAATTGATGATGTTTATTTTCAGACTTTTTATTTTTGAGTCAAAGTCTCATTCTATCTCCCAGGCTGGAGTGCAGTGGTATGCTCACGGCCACTGCAGCCTTGACCTGCTGGGCTCAGGCAATCCTTCTGCCTCAGTCTTCTAAGCAGCTGGAACTAAAGGCATGCACCACTGTGCCCAGCTAATTTATTGTTTTTAATCTTAGAGATGAGCTCTCTGCCAAGTTGCCCAGGCTGGTCTCAAACCCGTGGGCTCGGGCAATCCTCTCACCTCAGCCTACCAAAGTGCTGGGATTCCAGGTGTGAGCTACTGCCCCTGGCCCAAACTTTTAATTATGCATATTTTTTCTCATCTTTTCCTTTTTCTCCTATTTCTTTCATTCCTCTCTTCTGTCTCTCTTTTTTCCTTTTCTTCTTCTTCATGTGTCTTTATTTTGCAGAAAGACCTGAGAAGGCAAATATGTTTTAAAATATTCATTAATGGAATGCTTTTGAATGTGATTAACTGGGATAATTCTCATTAAATCAGTATGTAATTTCAGCTGTTTTATATAATTTTATTTTAGGCCATTTTATGGTTTTTTAATGTAGGTTAGAAATCTGCCCATTTTCATGCTATGCAATAATCTTAGAAACAAAAGTGAACATTTTGATATTTTAGGCTTCTCTTTGGCTATAGCTTTCCACAAACAAGTAAATATGTCAGATTTTGTGAACAGGACAAAATTACCTAAGTTAAAAAGAGGTACTCATGGCCACCCCAGCGTCGACCTGCTGGGCTCCTGTGATCCTTCTGCCTCAGCCTTCCAAGTAGTTGGAACTATAGGTGCATGCTACCACACCCAGCTAATTTTTTATTTATTGTAGAGATGAGATCTCGCCAACTTGCCCCAGCTGGTCTTGAACCCGTGGGCTCAGGTTGTCCACTTGCCACGGCCTCCCAATGTACTGGGATTATAGACTGAGCCTGGCCTATTTTTTTTTTTAAAGTAAATATAAACTTCTGCTTCTGGCCACGATGGAGTAAATCTTTGTAGCCTGGTTCTCCTACAACCCAAAATTATGGACAAAAGCACATAAACCAGTCACCTGGGGACTCTTAAGGTGGATGATTGCGGCTACCTGGGGTTCGGGAAGTGCAGTCATGAAGAATAGGTGGTACAGTGGCCAGGCATTTCCCATTTCCTGTTTGTCTTTTTGTTTTCCCTCTTTAACTCCCTGCTTTGATTCCAGGGTGGACCACGTTGAAGGATTGTGTAGTGTGCGAGGACAGCAGAAGCTCACAGAGAAGCCTATCTTTGGCTAGAGGGCTGGAAGAAAGACTGGAAGAGTGTCTAGAGAATCCTTTTTTTTGTATTCTGGCCCTGCCCTAGAGCAGTCTCTGTTGAAAATCTAGACTTTTGTGGTGCAGCAGCAGGCATTTGTATCCATCTGGTTGGATAGTTCAATGGGAAGAGGAACGTCTGTTATGCAAAGAGTGTCAGGGAGCATTTTCTATAATTTTTTCTCTGTCTTTTTGCTTGTCACATTGAGAGTGGGCCCAGTCACATGGATCTGCACAACAATGCAGGATACTCAAACTCTGAAGGAACCTCATCAATTTGTCTAGTGGGACCGAGGAAGAAGCTCTCAGAGCAGGAGAGCGTGAGGAGAAATCCAGGAGAGGAAAGAGTGGGACCAGGGGATCCCTAAATCTGTGCATGAATCTGCACAAGTTGCAGCCTTCCTCCAGTTGTGTGTATGTGGAATGTACCCCTAAGTCGTAGAAATGTCTTAGGGAGCTGAGCTATGATGTCAACTACTTCCCCAGTGCCAGATCAACTCTTCAGTGGTACATGTGATGGGCAGACTCAAATGTCATAGTAAAAGCTTTGAACAAGGAACTGA